CAGTGCTTTGGGAGGCAGAGGCAGGAGGTTCCCTTGAGGCCAGGAGTTTGAGACCAGCCTGGGTAACATCACAATGCCCCATTTCTGCAAGAAATTTTTAAAAATTAACCAGGCATGGTCATGAGTACCTGTAGTCCAAGCTATTGTTAGGAGGATCACTTGAGCCTGGGAGTTCCATGTTGTAGTGAACTATGATAATGATATTGCACTCCAGGGGTGACAGAGTGAGACTCTATTCCAAAAAAAAAAAAAAGAAGAAGAAGAAGAAGAAGAAAGAGAGAGAGAGAGAGAAAATTATCCAGTCCTATTACTGAAAGTTTGGCATTGGTCCCTGAGGCCAAATCAGTGAGACTGAAGAAGTAGGACAAGTGGTTTGAGGAAAAGGAAAGAGAATTCTATTAATTTATTAGCAAATGAGGATGGCAGTAGACTAGCATCTCAAAAGACCACCATTCTGCCTTTAAACAGAAAACCAGGGCTCTTTAAAGGAGCATTTTCATTGGTTGGGCTTGGGCCTCTGTGACTGATGTCATATGGCATGGCTTTGTGCTATTATTTAACTATAATTGGTGGTTTTGGTTGACTAAGATCTTGTGACAATTGTTTTGAGCCGTCTCCTGTGGTCTAAGAAAACAGAAAACAAGGAAGAAATGCAGGTTTTAATTCCCAGAAAGGGTGGGGGGACACGTCATGAAACATTTCGTTGCCCTTTATCAAAACTTTACCTCTGGCTCGGCGCCTGTGGCTCAAGTGGCTAAGGTGCCAGCCACATACACCTAAGGTGGTGGGTTCAAATCCAGCCCAGACCTGCCAAACAACAATGACAGCTGCAACCAAAAAATAGCCGGGCGTTGTGGCAGGCGCCTGTGGTCCCAGATACTTGGGAGGCTGAGGCAGGAGACTCGCTTGAGCCCAGGAGTTGGAGGTTGCTATGAGCTGTAATGCCACAGCTCTCTACCCAGGGGGACAGGTTGAGGCTTTGTCTCAAAAAAAAAAAAAAAAAAAAAAAAACTTTACCTCTGTTAAATTCCCTCTGAGGGCTGCTACCTGTGTTACCGCCTTACCAGGTTCCTTGCCCACTGCTCAAGAGGAAGCCAATTTACTGAGACAGCAGATGTCACAGCAGTGAAAGAGTTTAATATTGCAGGCACCATGCAAGCAGAAGGGAAGAAGTTCTCAAATCCATCTCCCCAAAAATTTGGGAGAAAAGGACTTTAAAGATAGTTTGGCAAGCTAGACAATTGCGTCTGCTAATTGGCTGGCTTCAGGGCAGAAGCACAGGGGTATAGAAGTTATCCCTTTTGCTGAGTCGGTTTCTTGGGTGGGGGTCATAATACCAGTTGAATAAATTCCATGGTATGGGCCACTGATCTGGGTGGGTCAGCTGTTCCACTGGAATGCAGGGCCTGGAAGGTATCTCAGAAACTAGCCTTAGGTTTCACAAGGGTGATGTCATCAAGGGAGCAATGAAGAAGGAAGCTAAGAGTCTGTATGACCATTAGCTATATGACTCCTGAGTAGGGGGTGATAGGTCGGTCAGAGGAACTCCAACAACAGAGCACGCATAGGCCACTCCATTTTGAACATAAGTCACTCCATCCTGGCCATTCAAGACCCCTGCTGAAAACACCCCTCCCCTTCTGGGACCCAGCCAGAAGGAATAAGGAACTAGCTGACTCCATGTCTCCAGGAGAGGCTAAACTGCAAAATGAACAGGACGATCTAAGTGGGAAGCCAGCTGGAACCATACCTGGCAATAGTCACTAGTACACCAAAGTAACACCTACCCCTCCTACCCTGCCTAACACCTTTAAAAGATAAGCACTCTATTTTAGAGACAGAGTCTCACTTTGTTGCCCTCGGTAGGGTGCTGTGGAGTCACAGCTCACGACAATTTCCAGCTCCTGGGCTTAGGTGAGGAGCTCAGCTGCCTCAGCCTCCTAAGTAGCTGGGACTACAGGTGCTCGCCACAACCCTAGCTATTTTTTGTTGCAGTTTGGCCAGGGCTGGGTTTGAACCCAGCACCCTCGGTATATGGGGCTGGTGCCCTACTCACTGAGCCACAGCACTGCCCAAAAGATAAGCACTCTTGTTCTTCAGGGCTGATTCCTATTGAGTCTCAGCCCACCTTCACTGAGGCACCAAATAAACTTTAGCTATTGCTCTCCATCCTGCTTTGTGATTGAGTCAACCGCTACCTTACAGTGACCAATTACAGAAATGCAAGCTATGGAGTGTGTGTGTGTCCTACTTAGTGGCCCTTTATTAATTTTATAAAGGGTGATTTCACCCCCAAGGTTTCATCTACATAACAAGACCACATTTGCTAGCCAGACCTCCTCTTCTCCCCCTCCCATAACTTGTCTTGCGATCACCCCTATTCTCTCTGTAACCTCAAGATAGTATAAAAGTGTAGGGGCAGCACCTGTGGCTCAGTGGGTAGGGTGCCGGCCTCATATACCAAGGGTGGCAGGTTCAAACCTGGCCCCGGCCAAACTGCAACAAAAAAATAGCCGGGCATTGTGGCAGGTGCCTATAGCTACTCGGGAGGCTGAGGCAAGAGAATCGCCTAAGCCCAGGAGTTGGAGGTTGCTGTGAGCTGTGACACCACAGCACTCTACCAAAGGCGATAAAGTGAGACTCTGCCTCTAAAAAAAAGTATAAAAGTGTCAACCATCTTCCCAAGCTCACCTATGTAGTATGCAAAGTTCAGGAAGTATTGAACTTAAATTCCAGGCATTCTGTCACACCTGTGATGAGAGAACTCTAGTCACCCATGCCCAGATGGGTCTGCCTACTAGGAAAATGCTCACACAGAGGAAGAGGAGCACAGGTGTGGGCCCTGGTGCCTCCTGCCAGGGTGGCTGGGCGGTCCAGGCCTGAGCCTGTGCTGCCTCCTGCTGGCCAGCGCCACCCTTCCTGCGGGTTTCCTTTCCAGCCCAGAGCCACTGCCAGTCAGAAGTCACCTCTGCAGCCTGACAACAAAGGATGTTCCAAAGGGGCAGGAGTGTCAGGAGATCACACAGGGAATATGCAAAGATTCCTTTGATCCCCATACCTAAAGGACTGTCTCCTTTATAGGGTCAGGCTGAGTGAAACCTTTGGATGAACCAAATGGGGAAAGTAAACTCTGCCACCAAAAGCCATTGTGTGTACCCAAAACTGTTAGAAATATTCATTTTTTTTTAAAAAGAAAAATTTAGGGAAATATTTGGATTATTCTTATATTAGACTCTCCTTTAGGATAGAAAACTGAATGCTAACTTATGTTAACACACTGGTTCTCCCATAGGCTGCCTCGGGGAACTAGTCAAACATGCAAATACCAGGTTCCCTCCCAAGTCTTCTAAAGCAGAACCCCTGGGCAGGCAGTCCCCAGGGTTACAAAAGAGATAGACTCTGTAGCTGTGTTCTTAAGTTGGATCTGTGTGTAAGTTGGAACAGGTACATTTATCTATTACCTATAATAGCCTCTGTTTGTAAGGCCCAACTGAAATCAGACACCCACACTAGATGAATCATAGCCACCTCAAAAATACATGTCACGATGGAACTCCCAGTCTTCCCTATCTCAGTAACAATCCCACCACCTACCCACTTGCTTCTCCCTTCTCTCCAACCTTCCACACCTGACCCATCCTGTAAGTTCTTTTCCAAAACAATGACCTGGATCTGTCCACTTCTCACCAACACCATGGCCACCACCATCACCCCTTACCTGGATTCCTTTGGTAGCTTCCTAACTCATCTCTTACCTCTATTCCTGGCCCCTCTGGTCCATTCTCTTCACAAAAGCTATAGCGATCTCTTTGAAATATAATCAGAGCAAGTCACTCTCCTGCTCAAAACCATTCAGTGTTCCCCCATTGCTCTTAAATGAAAATGCAGACTCCCTGCGTGCAGACCCTACTCCATCTGCCTGTTTCTCGTCTTCAGCCTCATCTCTTGCCCCACCACTCATTGTGGGCACCACCCTGTCCAGCTCCTGCATTACCCAGTCTTCTCTCTTTTCTGGAATGTTTTCTCAGGCATTCCCAACACTGCCTCGAATGTCATCTTCTCAGATCTCCAAGAAGAAATCTGCCCTTCTCATTAAATTTTAGACATTGTCTTCTGTCCTTGTTTACTACTTGTTTTCCCCATGCACTAGAACAGAAGCACCATGCAAATAGAGTCCCCACTGTATCTCCAGCACCTGCTAAGATGTGCTCATACGTATTTGTCGAAAGAATAACAGACGACAATTACATGGCAAAATAAAAACCTGACAATTCTGTATGCTTCCTCATTTTAAAAAACACTATCTGGCTCGGCGCCTGTGGCTCAAGCGGCTAAGGCGTCAGTCACATACACCTGAGCTGGCGGGTTCGAATCCAGCCCGC